GGCACCATTCATTCATTCATTCATTCATTCATTCATTCATTCATTCATTCATTCATTCATTCATTCCTGTCTACCAAAAATATGCATCGTTCAGATTTTTTCAAGAGCACAAATGATGGGGGTCTTTAAAAGGTGCCATAAAACTCAGTGTTTCTTTGATCATATTGAGAAAACATCAAAGAAGCCCCCAACTCTCTTCTTGAACCAAAAAGACAACACTGACCCCACCCAGCTGCATGATCTGATCTAACCTACTCCTTGTCATCAGCCCACCAACTGTGGTCTTCACTATCCCACCTCCAATAAGGGCCCTTGGCCACAAAAAAAATTGCCCAGCCAATCAGAAGCACGTAGGATGGTTTTGGGTGCCATTCTAGGTAAAGAGCACTGCTCTCCAAGCCAGGTTACAGGTTAGACCAAAGGGGTTGAACTAGGTCATCTCAAACGCTGAATCGTCTGAATGAACTGGACTATCCTCTACCTAGCCAACTTTAGCTGATCTCAAAAACTAAGGAGGGTCAGGCCTGATTAATACCCAGCTAAGAGACTTGGGAAGTAAAAAACAAAACAGAAGAAGACAGTGGGAAACCATTTCCCTGTGGCTACCAAGACAATCAGACAGATGTGTTCATGAAGTCACTCAATGAAAAGAAGACCTTCTTTTGTTTTAACTGCTAAAATCATGCAGGCTTGTTAAGTTAACCCAGACTACACACCAAACCGTTGATTTCTATGCAGAGAAAGAAGGGGGTGCTATAAACTGCTAACTTCAGCAAAGACTAGATGGGTTCTAGAGGAGCAGCAGGAGATGGAAGTCAAGGCCAATGATAAATCAACTTTAAGCAATTGTTGGCACATCAAATTCAGTTCTGAAGTGCTGATGTTACCTGGACAGCAGACGTGTTAACATCAAATTTCCGGAAGATGGCAAAGGCTTCTTCAAAGAGTTCGTTGCTGATGGCAATGTTGGCAATGTCAGGGGCGTCATAGTTGTCCAGGCGATTGATGTATTCCATGACCCGGGTGCGATCAGCCTTGATTGCTGTCAGAATGAGGAGGTTCTGAAGATTCCTAAAAAAGCAGTAATGTGCAAGTTTATTTTTATTTATTTATTTATACATAGACTTATCCCTGCCCATCTCCCCGCAGTGGGGAACTCTGGGCAGTTTACATCAAGTTAAAACAATAAATACATGATTAAAATTTATAAAAAGAC